AGTTTTTCAGGTAGTCCCTTTCACCTTTTTGTTAAAAATCAAATACCTAAACAGAACCATGAACACTTGTACTGATCACAGGCTCCTGAAAATGTGCTGTTTCAATCTGTTTTGTAATTTTTCTTGACAAAAGGAGAAGTTCAATTCGTCAAATAGACAAAAGTTTATTTTGGTCAAATACGTTTCACAGCTCATCCAAGTTGCTTCTTCAGTTCTCGTCAAAATTCCAGTGGACACTGCCTTATGTTTGCCTGAAGGGAGGAGCTAACTACACTGAAACTACTCTGAAACTAACACACCAAAACATATTCGACCAAAATAAACTTTTTTGTCCAGTTGACAAATTGAATTTCTCCTTTTGCCATGGATTCTACCTGGACAACTTAGGGATTTTACACACATCTTGAGTATTTTTTGCTTGAGTTTCAGATTATTTTAAAACTCCTTTGTTATCCCAGTGTTTGCTAATGTGTGCATTGTGTCACCATGATAACTGCTGAACATTCTTCCACAGGCAAACATGTTGAACCCCCACCAGCGTAACGTCACTCCAAAGTAACAATTAAGAAGTATATTTGCAAGATTTGTTTTCTATTTTATTAAAATTTTACAACCTTCAACACTGATTGGGACAAAGATCTCAACTTTTCTTTGGTGAAAGTCCATTTTGTATTCCGTTTTAAGCTTAGAAATAAACAGGATACAGGAGAAATCTAATCTTTTCTTTCATAAACAATACTGATGTCAAGAAGAAGTAATTCCCAATTCAGCGATTTGGTCTTTAGCACATTGAACATACTGTACAAATGTGGCCTGTTCTTCCTCTCCAACTGCATAATAGTTTGAAGGCTCTAAGCTGAGTGTGCATGTGCGTGCGTGTGTGAATGTGTGTGTAGGGGTGTGTGTGTGTGTGTGTGTGTGTGTGTGCGCGTGTGAGCGTGTGTGTGTGAATGTGTGTGTGAGTGTGTGTGTGTCTCTGCAGGTCAGAGCAACAGATGGTTCCTGTCAGGAAGCTCTGACACAAACGGAGGCTTTAGATCGACTTAAGCCCCGCCCCCTCTCAGGAACCTAAGCCCCGCCCCCTCACAGGCCATGACTTGTGCATTGTACTAAACAGAGCCCTGTCAGCAGAGTCAGAGTTATATTACCAGTCAAAAGTTTGGACTTTCTTAATGTTTACTACTTTCTTTTAGGACTATATTTCATTTTTTCATTAGATGTCACCGATTCTAGTATCTGATGCTGAAAAATTAGCTAGATTGGATATAATCTAGCTACTTTTTCAGCATCAGATACCAGCATCGGTGCTTCAGTACTGTCTCCATTCTATAAACATATCAAGACATCTAATGAAAAAATTAAAGAATGCATTTATTGTCCATTTCTTCATATATACTAGACATGCAAATGAATCAAAATGTAGTAATAGTAGTAGTAGTAGTTTATTCAGCCATTTTGCAGCACTACACAAAAAACAAACAAACAAACAAACAAAAACATAGACTACAACCCCATGGATCATGACCAAAAGGGTTTAGACTGAAGTAAAAAGTATTTATAACGCCTAAACCAGGCATGTCCAAACTATGCGGCCCTCAGACAATTTTTTTTTTTTTGGCCCTCTGGCTTTCAGGTGAATTGACCTAAATGACCTTGTATCAATGAAAAATTTAATTTTTACTGCAAGTTTTTTTGAAAATCTACCTTGATAAAGCTTATATTTAATATTCAGTGTGTGGTTTTAAGGATCTTAGCGTGAATAAAGACTGACGAATCATTCTAACGTGTTAAACATGCACATATTTCAATTATTCACTGTACCGAGCACCAGAATATGGCCCTCGATTGGCCCTCTGTTTCGTCTGTGTTTAGATACGTGACCCCTGATGAAAAACGTTTGGACACCCCTGGCCTAACCCTATTAAATTATGATAGAATACCAAGAAAGAAAACAGCGTATGAACAGCAAGTTTGCATTTACAGTTTCACTTACGACTTATGATGAAGAGACAAAATATAAATTAAAACAAACAAAATTAAATGCATAATTCATTCATTCCACAGCTCTATATTTTTCAAAACATAATGCTTTATACTTTTTTTTTTTAAAGGCTTCTACAGTGTTAGACTTTTTTTTTAATCATCACTCAGATTGTTCCATATACTATCCCCTCTAACAGAAATACAATCACTTTTTTATCTTCATCGTGGGACCTGTCACCTTATCTGTACATCACAAACACACAATGCAATATGACATGTGGAGACTAGACACGGACTGGAACGGAAGACGGGGAGCAGAGGAAGAAACAATGCAGCATAACTTAAGGATAGGGAGAGGAGAAAAAAAAGAGGACAGTCCCCAGACCATGCTCCTTTCAGGGCATAATATGAAACCAGGACACACACACACACACAAAAAAAACACTTCCGCGACATCAGCACATAGTCAAAACACAGGACAAACATTACGACTAGACCTGCAACCGGGGAGGATAGGGAGTTGGACTAAAAACTACCAAAAAATATTCAGGAACTATATATTGAAAGAGAAAGTACTTATAATTTAAGGGGAATTCATCTCTTTTAAAATAGCCAAAGTTCATACAACAAGGAAAAGTTTTTCAGTTTCTGGGGGCAAAATCTGAAACTCTATTAGTGATGAGCTCAAAAAAAAAAAAGCCCAAATTTGAAAACGTTTAAACATAGATATAAAGAAATTATTATAGCTATGTATGCAAAAGAAGGAATTTAAGTTATTGTCTTCTGAATGTAAACAATAACATATTTATTTTGTATCTGGGGTAATGTGACTTAGTGTAAAAGCACATTATTGCTTTAATGGGATTGTAAAAGGGGGTTGGAGTAGATGTAGTTGCGTCTCTCCACTCCTTTTTGGAATGATTTTTATTTTTATTTTTATTTTTGGAAATTTTATTTGTGATTAGCAGTGTAAAAAAATCCCTTTATGTATCTGCTGATTACGCTATAATAATGCAAATGATCATTTACTGCGTGATAATGTAATTTATCATTTATCATTTACGGAAATATCCGAATAAACTACATTATTCATTATCGAGTTAACCCAACATAAGCAAGCAGCCATCCGGATCCTGCAGCCATGTGTGCGCTGGAGTCGACAGACGCACTCGCCATCAGTGGTGTAGTGGGGATTTTTTTAAGAGGAGGTATGCGATATGTGACTGAACCAGGAGGACTAAACCAGGACTAAACCAGGACCACACTAGGTCCAAACCAGGAAAAAATCCTAGTCCTGGTTTCATCCTGGTTTAGTCCTCCTGGCCGACAAGGAGCTCTGCGCTGGTCCTTTCGCCTGCGGTCACCCGATGGTCTATGCGGCCACACCTCCAGGCCCGTCCCAACACTCAGTCCTAGTCTAGTTCTAGTCCAGTCCCGTCCCAGTCCCGGTTCAATCTTGGTCCAGTCCCGGCCTTGTCCCGGGTCCCTGTCCCCTCATGTGGCAGGTCACTATAGGACAGTACTGCAGATATCATGAGACTATGCAGTTTGTTTTCACCATTGCCAAAGCTCCGGCTTGACATTTAAGGTGTAGCTCTTTTATATTTGTTATTTTTTTATATTTCACGTCGGGAGAAGTGGGTGGACGGTGAACCCCCCACGTACCACACCCACTACACCTCTGCCCGCCATCTAATATATGACGCGTGATATATGGTATTATGTAGAAAAGGGAAAAAAAGCAAAGTAACTAGAAAAGTAGAACTTTTTTTTTTTTTTTGTGGACAGCAGAATGTATTTTGTCAGCACAAGTAGATCTGGACATATTCAGGAAAGGTCCTTTTTCTTCCTGTGGTTTTTTCAGTATTGATTCTTCAAATTCTGTATACTATATTTTTATATAGTGCTTTTTCACTTTCAAGGCACTCAAAGCTCTTTACATCAAGGAACCACTCACCCGTTCACACACACATTCATACACCAGTGTACGCAGACACTTGGAGGGCAATGTGGGTTATGTGTCTTGCCCAAGGACACAACAACTGCATTTCATCTGTGGAAGCGAGAATCTAAGCACTCTAAAAATTAGGACATTTAAGACTGCTGTGATATCATTTATCAAAATACTACAACTTCTATCCTCCAACAACTCAATGTTATCTGTAAGAGTCTGTGCAGATTCATTCTCCGCTGTCCCTTCAGAACTCACCACTGTACAATGTTCCACCAAGTGTCCTTGCTCACTGGGTTCTCCCAACGTCTAGTTCACTGGTTATTATTTATCCTTAAATTCATTCATCTCTGTTACACTTAATATCTCAAACAGTATTTAATTTCATTCATATCCTCTTACAGTTTACGTCACACAGATCAGATATTTTTTGTCGTCCCATGCGTCAAAAAACAAATAGGAAAACACTCATTTAAATATAAATCTCCCTTTGATTGGAAGAATGTTCCCTCATTGATTCGTGCATTAACTTCTGTCCCTTCATTTAAAAATGCTCTTGTCATTGTCTTTGATGATTTTGTTGAATTTTGTTGTTTATCTTGTTGTATTTTGTGACAATATTTGAACTCTGTTTTAGTTTTTGATCAAATTTGAGTTATTATGCATCTAACAGACTAGTGTGAGTGAGTGTGGTTGTGTTGATTTTGTTGTTTTTATGTTTATATGAATTTATGTAGCCTATTGTCTGCCCTTGTAACTATAAGAACCCCCTTGAAAACAAGATGGTGAAACATCTCAAGGGGCTTATCCTCCAAACAAATATGTTTGAAATTTGAATGACGTATTGTGGGTGGGATTTGAACTGCCAACCTTCGGATCAGTGGTCAAACGCACCGCGAACTGTGCTACTTTCGTCCGTTAATTAACTCCCACTATATGCATAGACACATCTCCCAAATTTGGTAAACCTTCAGCCAAGTTTGCAACACCATGACCTGGAGTGAGACGGTGCATATGAATAAGTTCAGTTTCATTTTCTGTAATTGTCCCCGTGTGTTTGCCGTAGGGACCGGCGATATGGTGGCTATCATGATCACGGAGCACAAAGGCCTGGAGCTGGTGTCTTTACTGGAGCGGAACATCGCCGTGTCCGTCCACATCACCATAGGAACCCGCAACCTGCAGAAGTACGTGAGCAGGACCTCCGTGGTGTTCGTCTCCATCTCCTTCATCGTCCTCATGATCATCTCCCTGGCCTGGCTGGTCTTCTACTACATCCAGAGGTTTCGCTACGCCAACGCACGAGATCGAAATCAGGTACAGCGGGTTTAGAGCAAAAATATTAATGGTAATAGTAAATTCTAATTCTTGTACAATTGTAGGGAGTATTATCTGTTACACAAGGGTGAGATGTTGTACAGTTGTAGGGAGTATTATCTGTTACATAAGGGTGAGTTGTTGTACAGTTGTAGGGAGTATTATCTGTTACATAAGGGTGAGTTGTTGCACAGTTGTAGGGAGTATTATCTGTTACATAAGGGTGAGATGTTGTACAGTTGTAGGGAGTATTATCTGTTACATAAGGGTGAGTTGTTGTACAGTTGTAGGGAGTATTATCTGTTACATACAAGTGAGTTGTACAGTTGTAGGGAGTATTATCTGTTACATAAGGGTGAGTTGTTGCACAGTTGTAGGGAGTATTATCTGTTACATAAGTGAGTTGTTGTACAGTTGTAGGGAGTATTATCTGTTACATAAGGGTGAGATGTTGTACAGTTGTAGGGAGTATTATCTGTTACATACAAGTGAGTTGTACAGTTGTAGGGAGTATTATCTGTTACATAAGGGTGAGTTGTACAGTTGTAGGGAGTATTATCTGTTACTTAAGGGCAAGTTGTTGCACAGTTGTAGGGAGTATTATCGGTTACATAAGCGTGAGATGTTGTACAGTTGTAGGGAGTATTATCTGTTACACAAGGGTGAGTTGTTGCACAGTTATAGGGAGTATTATCTGTTAAAACTAATAATAAAGCGTTACTCAAACATGATGAATAAACCAAAACACGACTCCGGGCATGTTTTTGATGAAGCATAATATTGGACCTTTCAAAATAAATCACGATGAGTAGTTTGGCTGCCTGCACCGTCAGATTAAAAGATTTCACGTTTAATCCACAAAGTGACAGTGAGCAGTATTATTTTTGACCCGTGACATAATAACGGGGCGGGTGAGAGAGAGCGGGAGATTTGGCCTGACAGCTGGAGAACACAGAGCGGCCACTGAACCATCACAAAGCCTGGCTCTGCCCTCACAGAGTAAACACTGACTCTGAGACGTCTTTACGATGAGCCCTGCCTCTGACGTGTCTCTGACGTCCGGGAGGGCACACCTGGATGTTCGAATATGTGTCGGTGGTGCCAGATTTGGATTAGGAGGATTAGGATTTTACAGTTTTAGACAGAGAGGAGAAGTGTGTGAAGGGAAACACCTACGAACAACAATAAAAAAAACGTGATCTTGTAAATGATATACATGAGTCATAATGAACTGACCTATATTACACAAAATTGACTTTCATGGGATTTAAACCGTGTTATAATGCTGTTACCTCAATGAAAACATACTCAGAAATGTGTTTTGTTTCATTCACACGTGTTTAAGTAATCCTTTATTATTAGTCTGTCTACATCTCCAAAGCTCAAAATGCTCTGTTCCACATTGTGATGTCATGTAGTGGTAGTTTTTAAGTTAACCCAGATACTATTTACTCTTTTTTTTATAGAAATTGGCTGAAATTATCCAAATGATTCTAGTGAAAGTGTATGGAGTTTAAAAACACAGTGGAGCAAAGTGTTTTCTGTTTGAGAGAAGAGCTTCATCCTAAATATTCAGGATTTTTTGTGCTAAACGTGTGAAAGAAACAAGAACAAAACACAACTCCAGGTCTATTTGTGAAGAGGAAACAACGTTATAACACAGATCAGAAAATTGCGTAATATGGACCCTTTAACGGCAATCAGGCTGGCGCCACCTAGTTCCTTCGCTCAATTTCATTAGACGGTTAGATATTAGATGGTTTGCAAGAACCCCGGAAGTTGCAGACTGCGCACCGGCCAATCAAAGTGAAGAGCTGTGAAGCCATGACGTCAAACTCAAGCGTCTGTCTGGTGTCCATTTTGTGGAACAGCACAACAGTAAACAAAGCGGTCCAGATGGATGTAGACGAAGACAGACATTCTGTGTTGGCAACGATTCCCAAGATCGAGGATTTGAGTCCGGAACAAAGAGAATGTTTGGTGAATTTTATCAAGGGGAAAGACGTTATTGCCCTTCTTCCTAAGGGATTTGGCGCATTACATAAGTCACGACCAAATAGCAGCGATTGGTTAAATAAAAAAAGTACCTGCCTAATGCTGCGAGGTCAGACAGTTTCCAAAAAGTGAAACCAGCTGTTGAATCAGGCTACTTTAAAGGTGCACTGTGTAACTTTTTGGTTGGGGGTCCATCACCTGCTCGTTTCTATGGATATGTCATTTATGGAGGGAGATTTGTCTCATATTTTAGTTTGATATATATAAATATACAGTACATTTATAAATATCCAAATACAAAATACAAATATAAAAAAAACTAAACTAATTTGTATAAATAAATGTGTATTTGTAAATATATTTGTAAGATTTGAAAATCAATATGCTTGACTTTGTATGTGGAATCTGCATTTGTAGATGCCGTTTTGCTTTTCTTTCGACTGTATTTTGTATTTGGATATTTATAAATGTATGTATGTTTATATATATCATTTTTTATTTGTACAAATCTTTATGAGACAAATCTTCATAGTCATTGCTGTGCCTGGAATGTTCCACAGTATGACATTAAACATTTCGACCTTACATTTATTCAATTACAGAAACAGAAAAAGAGGCATTCTCACTGGTGTCTGGTTTGGTCTCCATGAAGATAGAAAGGTTTAATGCCATACTCTGAAACATTCAAGACAAAGCAATAACATCTCCTTGGCGAAAAGCATTTGACGAACCCTCCACGAGAAAAGTTACACAATGCCCCTTAACAACAGCGTTTTGAATGTGTTGTGCAGTTCAGTTATGTGGTGTGTGTTTTTTCAGAGACGCTTGGGAGACGCTGCCAAAAAAGCAATATGCAAGCTTCAAACCCGCACGATCAGGAAAGGAGACAAGGTAATGTTGCCGTGGTGACGCTGCAGCTCTAGGTGAGGATTTATCTGCTTGGTTTGCTCAGACTCAAGAGTGTTTTGTTTCACTTTACAGGAGACCGAGTCTGATTTCGACAACTGCGCAGTTTGCATAGAGGGCTACAAGCCAAACGATGTGGTGCGGGTGCTACCGTGCAAGTAAGGCTCTGCACACCGGAACATGATTAACTGATACTTTGCAGCCGATGCCATCGACTTTGTATGGGGGTGTGACGCTAACTGTAGGCACTGCTCTGTCTGAAGATCTTTTACTCAAGTTAAGGTCGCCGCACACTACGGGATTTTTTCAGGTTTAAGCGATTTTTAAACGTACGACAAAAAGTGCACACCATAGACACGAGGAGAATCTTATGAGATTTTAAGGCTACGTTTATATGATGAAGGTCTGAACATAAGATGCAAACGTGGCGTCGCGTCTTCACTTTATCGTCCGCGTTTAGACAAGTGTTTTTGGGAGTAAATCTGCATGTATACGGTGATGCAAAAGGGTGTGGAATTCGATTGATTATGCTTGTACTTAAAGCAACAAGGGCATCTTTGGACATATGAAAGTTTTTACGCCACGCATTTTCATCAGTTACTCCTTCCACAAAGTTGTCCCACCATCAACTGGTTCTCCAGGTCTCGTCCATATCCGTCTGGCTCACCTGCGACAAACTGGTGCGTCCAGAATGAGGTGATTGCACATCCTTCTCTGTTCACTAACAGTATCTCTGCAGATTCTGTACATTTGTTGGGAGCCTCCTGTAAGTTTATTAGAGCTGCCAGAGCAGACTGAAGGTTTGATGCATGGAAATGATCCAACATGTTTGTTTCTGTGTCCTGTATGTATGTGACCTAAACGTGTACGCAATGTGAGCAGAGTTTTGCGTCTTGGGCAGTGTAGACGGAATCGCTTTTTAACTTTTCCACTCTGGAGGGTGGTTTCAGACTTTTGCGTTTTTAAGCCCCAAAAATGCCGTCACTGTCTAAACGAAAGACACTTCTGATAAAATATTTTGTCATTTTTAACCTTCTCGTGTAAACACTCCCTAAGTCTGCGATCGCAAAGACAGCAGCGGGATATGACTTTGGACCACAGGCTATAAAGTTATGAGTGCAATCATGTCAGCTGTTTCCTGTCTAGAGTAAAACCACTCGCTTTGAGACTTAAGTGTTCAAAAGATCAGAGCACTGCACTTCTAGTTTAGATACAATACAAAACTGTGTTGTTATTATGATTTGTGAAATGTGGTGCAAAACTTCAGATACATGATTTTTAACGCTACAGAAGGTTGAGTACACAGGAAGTTCGCTATTTCCTGAGTTTGTATCTTGCACCTCTGTGTCCGTCACTCCTCTGTCACTGACGCTCTGTTTTATTGTCTGTTATTGTAGTGTTGCTGACGTTTGGTGGTTACGATCTGACAGAGCAGCTCAGAGTCACACTGACAGCACACACACGAGGAGCGCAGCGGCCTCAAAATCGCACACGAAGACACAAACTCAGTTCACACCTCCTCGAACTCTGGGAGACACAAATCGCAGCCTAAATAGAGCAAATTCTCCTGTAGTGTGTGGCGGCCTTTAGACTGTAATCTGAGAACTGACTTAGATGGATCTACAACAGGAGAGCAACTTTTCTGGGGGAGGGTCTGCTACCTACAGGGTTCCCACGATCATGGGAATCCTGGAAAAGTCATAGAAATTGAAAATGTTATTCTCCAGGTGTAGAAAAGTCATGGAATTTCGTAAATTCAATGAAAGTTTTGGAAAAGTCATGGAATTTTAGTATCTCTTTTACGCATCTTCAGTGTTCTGTTAAATTATCATGAGGCTGTTATGACTATTTCCGAACATATGAGCCTTTTGTTTAAGAGAGACGACAATAGATGTACTAACAGTATTTTGAATGTTAAAAAACTATAAAAACCATAAGGTGAGTGGAAAGGTTTAATGTCATATTTAGCCCTAAAAGTCTGATCAATTCTACACATGTAGGTGCTGTAAAGTCATGGAAAATTCACTTTAGATCATGAAAAAGTCATGGAAAAGTTTTGAAATTTTGTCAGTGAAAAAAAGTGGGAACCCTGTACCTGGTTTGACATTAAACATATATCTGTTTAGCATTTACAAAAATATAATAATTCAACTCTTCACAGATCTGAACTGTAATGTAGCGTAGTGCTGTAACCTGCTCGTCTCCCTTGAAATAGACGTGTTTAATCTATACTGTGCTGTGGAACATTCTAGACAAAGCAATAACATCTCCATTTAGATAAGCAGGTGGCAGGATGTCACTGCAAAGTATCAATAGTACCAAATGACTTTTTTGAATTGATTTTTCCTGTGCTTAACCTGCTTTTTCAGACATGTTTTTCATAAGCACTGTGTGGATCCCTGGCTACAAGACCACCGCACGTGTCCGATGTGTAAGATGAACATCCTCAAAGCTTTAGGGGTGAGTTACATGTTCAAACTAGTTGTATTTGCGTTTTTTTTGTTATTGTTTATTTTTTAGGGACAATAAACTAGAACATGAAACAGTTTAATAGTAATAAACATGAAAAAAGACACAAATACCTAAAACATAAAACAACAGCTGATTTAGTTCGTATTTGGACCTAAAATGTGCCCTAGAGACATTTTCAATCAGTGTTAGGTTCAGCGCACAGATGAAAAACAGGACAGTTTAGCAACATGAGCGTTCACACAGGACTAGAATCACCTGAGGACCTCTGAGGAGGAGGTTTGCAGAATTACACAAGGTCAAATTTGTGGGAACTTTTTACAGACATGAGCCCTATTTGCACGCGTAAGTACAACCTGGGGACGTCTGATAATTTGCAAATTACCGCCCCACCTCGGTGTTACTTGCGTAAGCCAAGTCTGTAAACTCCTCTATTTTACTGACACTGGCAAACACTGAGATGCAAATTCACAAAGGGCGAGTATTTTCATCGGACATCTGCGTTTGGCAAAATATAGTAGGTCATTTGCAGCAGAATTTTTACTTTACAAATTACAGACACGACGCATTCGCACGGGATTAAGATCTCAGGCATCCTCCGCAATTATTACAAATCAACAAAGGCCCACAGGTAATACTAATCCTGTGTGAAAAGGGCTATGGACAATTCACATGGATCTAGAAACACAGATGACGTCCGTAATTATTACAGTTTACCAGAGGACCCTATGTAAAACTAATCCCGAGCGAATAGGGCTATAGTGTAAAGTCGTCTAAAGTTTTGTGAAAGTTTGTGGTTCTGGTTTTGTGTCACAGTTAATCCCAGAGTGCTCGGATGAAGCTCCCCCAGACTACGACACATCGGTGGGGGGGCCGCCGACCAACGCCGTCACAGGGGCCAGCGAGGTCACGGTGAACGAGAGCTCCGTGGTGCTGGACGCGGAGGGGAGAGGAGTCAGTCTGCAGCAGTTTCAGACGGAAGGAGGAAGTATACAGCAGGCTGAAGGATACGTCATAGCCAGCAGTGAGTACACACCTGATACATGTTTATGAAGTGTGTGAAACAGAGCAGCATTCATCATTCAGGTTTATCGAGCAGAATGTTTTTGCACTTTAACTGTAACAAAGGGTTATTGTTCAGAACTCCATACACTTTCACGAGTATAATTTGGATGATTTCAGTCCTGGAATTGCCAATCTTTACTGAACTAAAGATAAAAGGAGCTGCTAACTTGAAAACTACGGTATTTTTCGGACTACAAGTTGCTCCGGAGTATAAGTCACACCAGCCAAAAAATGCACAACGAAGAAGAAAAAAACATATATAAGTCCCAAGTTATTTTCTAAAATCAGAGACCAGGAACCAACATTTATAGTTATTATTGTTATAATAATAACAATAGAACAGAGAACAACAGACTGTTAACGTCACATATGAACAGTTCTTCAGATAATTATAACATAAACAACAGAACAGAACAAGTTTACCAAACTCTCCATCTCACTCCAAATCACTAAATCCATTAAATTCTTCATCCTCGGTGTCACGTCTGAGCAACTCTGCAATGTCCGGAGGAAAACCATAGATCCATGAGGTAAACTGAGCACCACTTCCTCTTCTGTGTAGCTGTCGTCAGACTCAGCATCAGTTCCAGTTAGAATTATTCCGGCCTTTCTGAATCCCGACAGGATGGTTTTGGTGTCATTGAAGTCCAGGCTTTGTCGATTCATCCAATGACTTCCAGGAATGTTGCATGGCGCACCCTCCCAATTACCATGAAGATGTGTTCTCCATCCCCACTTTTCACCAGTCCCTCACAAGTTTCTCGCTCACTCCAAACTTTCTTTCTGCTGCTCGAGGGGCTCTTTCTGCAAGAGACATGCGCAGAAGCGAAGTGACAGCGGTACAGGAGGAACAGGAGCAGCAGATACTGACACACAAGACTAGAGCCTCTCGTGGCTGTCAGTGTGAAAATTTTAATATCATTAATATTAAATCACACCGGACCAAACCATGAAAAAAGTGCGACTTATAGTCCGAAAAATACGGTACTGCTTCATGACATCACAAAGTGGAGTATTTTGAGCTTTGGTGATATAAACAGACTAATATTAAAAGGCTTACTGAAACTCCAGGTATGTTAGTAATGAGGAAACAACATAATAACATCTGATAATAGCATAATATCAGACCTTTAAATTCATTGTTACAGTGCAGTAATAGCTAAAAACGCAGAAGGAACTACATAGACCATGATCTTTGCTCTGTCTCAGTGCAGACTACATGAAGAAATGATAGACCTTTTTCACAACAGCCGGAAGTGCCACGATGTAGGGTAAATGTCACTTAGGTTAATGATTTTCTATGGCAAAATATCTGTGGAAATGTCTCACGTATTCTCCAGCGGCTTCATAAATCTGCCCCATCACCAAATCTTCATCCAACAAGATCGACAAAGGAAATATTCTGTCCATGAAAAATTTATCCACAACTATCAAGGTAAGAAAACTGAAAATGTAAAGGCGAACATTTGGTTATTTTAACTGCAGAATCAGTCTGAGTTAACAAGTTACTTATGTTTTATTCATGACCATAAAGTTAGTTTTGCTCTGTAGTTCACTAATGCGTCATTGTTGTTCGCCTTTAAGTTTTCGTCTTTCTTACCTCGATAGTTGTGAATAAATTCTTCATGGGTAGAATATTTCCTTTGTCGACCTTGTTGGATGAAGATTTGGTGATTGAAACAGATTTATGAAGCTGGTGGAAAATATGTGAGACATTTCCACAGAAAACCAATAACTGGAAGTTTACCCTACATCACGGCACTTCCAGGCGGTTGTTGTGAAAAAGGATAATTATAAGGAAGAAATATAAATATAAGAAATGTATGTAAGCACTTTTAAATCTTCATTCTTTGGATTATGACATCATTTTAAAAGGAAAAAATAGCATATTCACATTTGGTTAGCCTCTACAAAACATCACAATAATAATTCTTTTATTTATTTAAAGAGACGCAAATTTATGGACTGTAAACATTTCATTAAGTTAAGGGCCATTAAGTTAAAACATCCACCTGACAACTGCATTGCTCTGTTGCCCTTAGCTTATTTGTTAACTGATTTGAATACATTTACAAATCAAAAATGACCTTAAGTTACACTTTAAGGTTAAAGTAGTGCCTGTCTTCCAGCTAATCGCTACTCTTCACAGTACATTCTACTTAATAACAACCAAATCGGGACTTTGCAGTGGCATTACTCTGGGGGCAGTCCCACTGCATGCATCTCTATTGGCAGAATGTTGAACAGTTACCATGGTGACACAATGCACACATTAGCAAAAACTGTGAAAGGTGTTTATTATATTCTGAAAAGTGAAAAAGAAATAGAAAATTGATTTAAACCACATTTTCAGGAGCCTGTGAACAATACAAGGTGAGAGAGACCAACAGAAAAACTTGTGACACTTGGGCTATGTTCAGACTGCAGGGCTTTTTTTCCCCATTCACATTTCCAATTAAATACAACTTGTATGCTATCTCCAGTGTGAACCTTAATCTAGAGGTCGGTGTGGGACAGAATTTTCAGTCCCGCTCCCACCCGCATATGTGATATTTTGTCCCTCTCCAGCCCGCAAGTTCCACAAGATGGGGACGTTCGCTTTTCTTAAGCTTTAAACACGGAGAAGCGGAAAGGAATTGTCTAAAATGTGCACGAGATTAGACCACATCCGCACATTTACGCTGCTTAAATGATGTATGATAGGCAAACATTAATCATTTGTATATTTTACTTACACACTCATATTTAGTTTGCAGGACTGCAGTTTATCATTCAGCCTGCCCGCTCCAGCACGCAATGAGCTTTCAAAATGTGTACCGTGCTGCATTGTTTTTTTGTTTGAGTCTTTAGCCTCCTTTTGTTTGGCCTCTTTATTTTTTGTTGACATTGGAGTCAGGACGCCCGGTGTTACGCACGGGCGTATTGATTTGGGTCATTAGTTATTTTTGTTCCCTTTGGTAGTAAGTTTTGTAATTTGTCCTTTTTGTGTAATTTTTGTTTATGATTTATCTTTTCGTGGCTGTGCGGAGCCTGCTCCCCCCAGCCCTACTCACCTTGCGTGTTCCATACTCTTTTCACTTTCCTATTGGGTTCAGGTTTGTTTGGGTTTTTTCTTGTCTTTAGTTACTGGTGCTGGCTCCGGCTTCTATGGCCCTGTACGGGGGTTGGCCCGGATGTTACACCTTCTTGTTCTCTTTGGCCGACTCACCAGGTCCACCTTTCTGTATTACTTTTCATTATTTATTACTTTTCATTATTTTTTGGGACACGGGAAGGATTATAAATTTCTTTAAAAATGTAAAAATTAAGAACCAACTAGAAATAAAAGAAATTAGAAAGCTATATTTTGACTCCTGTGTCCTTTTGAATATGTTGCCCTTCAGGTCGTAACACTTGGTAGCCACGCTCGACCATTTCTTTGTCAGTCATTTCAAAAACCGTCCTGTTCTAATAAGACCCCTTCAATTTAGCCTGAAAATAGTGATCCCCTCAATATGAATAACTCGCTAACCTCACTTTCCCTCCATTGACTGGACTCAGAGCCTGACGTGTAGGTGGGATAAATGCGCCTTGGCCGTTCAGACTGAAGTCGCATGTCAAACAGATCGGATATGTATCGGTTTCAGGAGCACATGTCCAAGTGGTCTGGGTCACATTTGATAAAATCTGATCTGTCATTAAAAGATCAGATACAGGTCACATAGGGGCAAATCAGATTTGGGTCACTTCAGGCTGCAGTCTGAACGTAACCTAATTTTAAGTGTGAGAGACTTGTTTAACACCACAAATCTCACCTGTTGTAGTTCAAACCAAGTCAGCGCTTTCTGGCCAGATTGTGTTAAAAAATAAAACTCAGATTAACTCTAACTTGAGCAACAGAACGTCAGACTGAGCAGTGCCTCCAGTTAGCTTCACAGTTCGCTTCAACGTTGGCGACATCAGCTGCAAAGTACCAGTTGCAGTTTTCAGTATAAAACAAACCAGCGAGTGATGTTTATCCAATGTTATGACTGGAAGGAAGATCGATGATGAAGCATTTTTGGAACAAGTTTTGGAATTTCCGCATTTGTTCATGGGGTGATTTAAATCTGTTTTTCGACTTCTGCCCCGGTGCAGTTGTGGAAAGAATGTGCGTCTCATCTGATCCCAAGCATCCTGTGTAAACCCGCATTATTTGCTGCTTTTACTGCCCGTGTGATTAGGTCGTAGGTCCCGGGTCACTCCGAAATTTGAAGACGTTTCCATATGTGCTCACGGTCCGCTCCATAAAAGCCAGTGTCTGTGCGCTGATCTAATTCAGATTATTGCAAAGCCAATCCAAACATTTAACTGATTCCGATACCACAATGATACTTAAAGGTCCTATATTACGCAAAATAAGCAAAGGGCAAGGCAAGTTTATATGCTTTACAGAATAAGAACAAATCACAACATAAATAATCATAAAATTAAAAAGAGACTTTAAACTTACATTGCTTTTCTCCATAGATATCCTTTTGCTTTGTCTGGAATGTTTCACAGTATGGTGTTAAATTTTCTCTCTTCATGGAGGCCAAACCAGACCAAATTACAGGTCAGATCTGCGGAGAGGTGACCCCGCTCACAGTCAGAATGCCTGTTTTTCTAAGTGTTTTTGAGCTGTAAAACCACCTGTAATTTAATAAATGTAACGTAGAGCTGTTACTGTGGAACATTCCAAGCCAAGCAATGAAATATCCATAGAATAGGGTGACCAGATGTCCCTATTTACCCAGGACAGTCTCAATTTTGAGCTTTGTCTCCCCCGCCTCAGCAGATTTATCCAAAACCAGTGATTTGTCCCAGTTTTATAAAAGAAATGTCCGAGGTGTCCCTATTTTTGACCAATCTGATCCTGCCAACAGTAAAGTGAGGCATACATTGTCATTTGTTTAGGTAAAATACAGAAAAGCTGCTTAAAAATGTCAAAAACACAAAGAA